CAAAGGGAGCCTCAAGTCATCAGGTACCAGGACATTCAGGGCTTTAAAGTTGCTGCCTTCACTTTGTGGGCCATTTGAAGAAATCTGTACAGAACTTGAAAACGAGTTGTAATAGAATCTTGCCCAGCAGAAGCAAGGGTCTGCCAGGCATTTTTGCTCATTCCCTTTTTGTTTTCCAGGGTTGCTTCCTCAGCTTACATTTTCCCCTTTCAACTCACTCCCTGGATGGTTTAATTCCCATCTGGGTATACCATTACTTATACTAGCTATGTAGAAATGCACTTTCCTTGGTGCTCTGCTGGTCTCCTCCTGGACAGCTGCATCCACCTCCTCTCCACGTGTCTAATGCACATCCATCAACTTGCCCCTCACTCTCTTACTGCCCCTATTTTGTTTCATGGCTTTACCATTCACTCAGCTGTTAACTTGAGAAACTTCAGTTCTCTTTCCCTCTTTCTCTGTAGCACCTTCTTCACCTAAACAAACATTCAGTGAGGCATTAAGTCTGGCCACTTCTGCCCATGGAATGTTTCTGGAATCCTTGGACTTTGCAAGAGACTTTTATTTATTTTTAATTTTTTAAATTATTTTTTAAAGACAGAGTCTCTGTAACCCAGGCTGGAGTGCAGTGACACAATCTTGGCTCGCTGCAACCTCCACCTCCCAGGTTCAAGTGATTCTCCTGCCTTAGCCTACTGAGTAGCTGGGATTACAGGCGTCTGCCCCACGCCCAGCTAATTTTTGTGTTTTTAGTAGAGAAGGGGTTTTACCATTTTGGCCAGGCTGGTCTCAAACTCCTGACCTCAAGTGATCCGCCCACCTCGGCCTCCCAAAGTGCTGGGATTACAAGCGTGAGCCACCCCTTGCGGCCTGCAAAAGCTTTCAGCTTATCTCAGACCTAGGTCTGTTTCCAATTCATCTTCCACATAGTCATCAATTATTCTTATAGAACAAATTTCTGATCTTATCTCTCTCCTGTTTAATAACATCCAATAGTTCACTCATTGTCTAAGTTGTATTTTATTTTACTTTGAGACAAGGTCTTACTGTGTTGCCCAGCCTGGAGTGCAGTGGTGTAATTATGCTCACTGCAGCTTTGACCTCCTGGGCTCAAGCGATCCTCCAACCTCAGCCTCCAGAGTAGCTGGGACCACAAGTGTGTGCCACCATGCTTGGCTTATTTACTTTATTATTTTATTTTATTTTGTTTTTTGTAGAGTCAGGGTCTCCCTATGTTGTCCAGGCTGGTTTTGAACCCCTGGGCTCAAGCTATCCTCCCACCTCGGCCTCTCAAAGTGCTGGGATTACAGGCATGAGCCACCAAAACCAGCATAAAGTTGTAATTCCTTAGCAATGTGTTGTATACTTCCTCTATGTCCCTTCATCCCCAATCAAATTCACCTTTCTGCTCACCTACTCTCTTAGTTGTCTGCTTTCTGCCATATGACAACCAGCTCTTCCAACACCTTAGCCCAGATTGATTTTACATGTGCTATCCAGTGCATGTTACGTGTTTATTTCAGCTAGAGAGGTTTCTGGAGTTAACCAAGTTTGCATGTGTGTCTGGGGATGCTTAGGAGAATGTTGTAAATGACCAGTATACTACAGTGACACTGTGATTTGCTGCTTCTCCATGCTGGTAGCAGCAGTCCCCAAATCGTGCGGTGGCCAGCATTTTATTCAGGAGAAAATTGCTGTAGTTCTAAGTATTGTTAAACTGAAAAGATGTAGGCTGGATTTACATGTACTTTTGGAAATATTGTATATTTTGAAGATATTATAAGTTTGATTTTTTTTTTTTTTTTTGGTGAAATATCTGCACTCTCTCCATGGATCAAATCATTTTTGCACTTTTTATTCCTTACCCCCACAATTGGTTTGTTTGCTTTTCATTCCTGAAAGCCTGCACTGAAGCTCTCTGGTACTTGTATTTACTTTTTCTCTACCTTTAATTTTCTTCATTTTATTTTTCATTCCATTCCTTTTTCTATGTTTTCAAAAACATCTTTTTTTTTCTCATTTAGCTCGTACTTTGCCGTGAGCTTGTGCTTTGCTATGTTGGGGATTTTATTATTTCTATCTTAATTCAAAGGATATAAACCATACAAAAGCCTGCCGCCTTGTCAAAAGGAGTTCTGAATCTGAAGCCCAAAATAATATCCAGTATAGTCTTGTACAATTTGGCTGTATTTCAGACATGAATAATATTGCTTTTCCAGGGTAAAGGAAATTTTTGATCTACTCTTTATACCAAAGCACTCATTTCTCATGAATGTCCTGTTCTCAAAGTTATTGAGTCAGTTGTGATGACAGCTGGTTTTCTAAGCAGCCAGGAAAGAAGAGGAATCTTTATATATTTTTTCGCCTTTTTTTTTCATCAGGAGCCAAGACAGGATATTTATATACTTTAAAACCAGTCCTCAAGAGAGAACTATCTGTACTCTCACCCCCTAAAAAAGGTTTTATATATATATATATATATACACACACACACACACACACACACACATATCTATACACACACACACACACACACACACACATCTTAATACTAAATTCTAAATTCTGGATATTGTGTTGTTTCCTTAGATCCAGCACCAGCTAAAGGAAAGGAGCTTGTATAAATGTTTTTGTTTCTAATAAAAATATCCAGGTTCCTTACCAGTAGCACATAGATAGGGTAGACAGTTGTATGAATATTGTGGGTACAAATAAAAGTAATAGTAAGAATTTATGAGCTGACCAGATTCAAGAAGGCCACATGTCCAACTCCATCAGCTTCCAGAAGCAATTCTTCCTGCCCCCAGCTCCACATAAAGGACTGAGAAGTCTAGGAAGAAGCGTAACAATGTCTATTGGTAGTCAGTGTAGTTTAGTGGTTAATTGCTGCCATTACTCAATTAGTTTATTAGATTCAAGAAGAATAATCAGCCAACAAATACTTATTAACATGGAGGAAACGCTGACCATAAGATGTTAGGTGCTGGGGAATGCAGTGGGAAAACAAAAGAGTTTAAAGGCTGGAGGGGAAGATAAACGGTCAGCAAGTTTTCAGAGTTTATCAGATAAATGAATTCAAGAGTGCGAAATACCATGGGCAAGAAATACAAGGTGTCAACAGTAGAAACTGAATACATACACGCCTGTGGGCATGTATACCCATCCACCCACATATATACACAAGGAACAGAACTTGAAATGAATCTGTCTTTCCTCCACCTCAAGTGGCAGCTTTGTTAATTCCTGCAAAGCAATATAAATAGCAGCTTCTCTGAAATTATATGCATCCCTTTTCTGTTGCTGTTTATTGATGCCTGAGGAGGGCAAACATGGGTTCTACTGATGTCAGCAGGCAGAGTTGCTGCAGTAAAATTTATTCAAAATGAGTGATTGTTGTGGGTTCTGATTTGAATAGATAAGCTGTAGATGCATTTATGAATTTGCATGTCTGTTTACATAAGCAATAGACCATGGTGGCTGAAAGTCCACCACTAGAGGCTGACTCTGGCTTCTGTTCTACAATGGGTCCACTAGTTACTAGCTCTATAACCTTGGATATACATCTGTGAAGTGAAGATAAATAACCACATTAACAACCTCATAGTTTGCTGTGAGGATTAAATGAGTTAACACATGCTAAGCCCTTGGAACAGTGCAGTGCCTGGCACAGAGTAATTGCTCTACAAATGTCATACTGCTTTTGCTCTCCAATCCCCCCACCTTTTTTTTAGCCAACTAACTGAGCAGGATAATATTGAATCTCGTGGATACAGGGGAAATTTTCGTCAGCAGAATACCAGAGAAAGATTTATTAAGTATCACCAAGGGGGCCCAGGAATTTAATAACACATTTGTTGTTTTTAGAGCTGAGTTTTTGTTAGAGTGTTAACTGAGAAAGAAAGTGTTTTCAGACGCAAATGGAATGTGACATTTACTCTGGTATTATTAGCATATAGAGTAGTAAAAACAGTAGTTGATAGTCTTCCTGCATGTTAGTTTCCTTTAGACTTATTTTCAAAATATACATTTGGTTTATCACAACATATTGTGTCCCACTTAACATAGTTGAGACAAATTAAGGAAAGATGATAGGGTATGAAGAGCTGATAGAAGCTTTTAATATGTGGGAAACCTCAGAATATAAACATCTACAGTGTTATTAATAGGCATATCGTCAACAACAGTTTTTCAGACTTTGTGCTTCACTCTGGAGAAAAACAAGAGCATCACATCTTGAATTTTTTCATTGGGTAATTAAAAAACCCAGTTATAATGTAACACCAGCTGAACATATCATGTTAGTGGAGTTCAGCATCAATTAAAATTATTAACGAAACCCGTCATATGTTCCTTTTCAAAGCTGTTCAAGACAACTGTCCAAATCAACAAAACAGTATGAATATTTATTACCATAAATCTTTTAACTCTTTGGTTTTAACTCATTTCAAATTTTTAGTTCTACTCTATTCAAATAAATTATTATATAATAGCTAATACATACCAAGAGCTTACTGCATAATCTAGCTGCTGTTCCAGACAGTAACTAATGAGAAAACTGTAGAGAGTAGCTGCAGCTTTTAGTAATACAACCTCAAGAAGAAAGTGGGGGCAGTACCGAAACTTACGTATAGTACCGTCCTTAGTACAGCATTGACACTGATGGCCTCCTTCAGGAAATACAAACCTGGTGAGGTTTTTAATTACTAATGCTAGAGAGTGGCGTTTTTCCGAGGACTATGTTCCACTTGGTCTGTCTCTGATGGCTATTAACTAATAAAACCGTTCTCATTCTGCTGCTGTGGGAAGTAAGCAACAACGGAAAAGTAAGCGATAATCTTAGAGCATAACTCAGAAGGCCAGAGCAGCCAAGGAGGTGGTAGAGTCCCGAGCCCCGCCTTCTCCACAGCCCCCCCAAAAACCCCACAGCGGGGCAGAGCGCCTGGCAGGGTGCCAGCGGCCGCCAGCGTTTCCCGCGGGGCGCCGGGGGCGGCCCCGGGACTGGAGGCGGCGCCTCGGGAGCTGTGTGGTGGGCGGCGGGCGGGCGTGCTCCGCCGGGGTCTTGGAGGCCGCTGGGCGCGTGCGCGGGCGGTAGCTACCTGCAGCCGAGCGAGGGAGCGAGAGGGCACCGAGAGCAGCTGGCTCGAGCAGCATGAGGCCAGGAGTGGAGCGGTCCGTGGAAGGGGGCGCATACGATGGCAGCTCCGAGCTGGAGCTACTGAAGCTGCGCGCGGCGGAGTGCATCGACAAGGCGGCCGAGCGGCTGGGGGCCCTGAGTCGCGCGATCTGGAGCCAGCCCGAGCTGGCCTACGAGGAGCACCATGCCCACCGCGTGCTGACGCACTTCTTCGAGCGGGAGCCGCCAGCCGCCTCCTGGGCAGTGCAGCCGCATTACCAGCTGCCCACGGCCTTCCGCGCCGAGTGGGAGCCGCCGGAGGCCCGGGCGCCGAGCGCCGCGCCACGCCCGCTGCACCTGGGCTTCCTCTGCGAGTACGACGCGCTGCCTGGCATCGGCCACGCCTGCGGCCACAACCTCATCGCCGAGGTCGGGGCGGCGGCCGCGCTGGGCGTGAGGGGGGCCCTGGAGGGCCTCCCCAGGCCGCCTCCGCCCGTGAAGGTGAGGTGGGGCCCGGGTGCGGGACCCCATCCGACTGCCCGGGAAGGGCGGGACCCTGGTGCGTCCCGCGCGTCTCGGTGCCCTTCCGCCCGTGACAGGTGTGTGCGGGACCGCGGTAAACCTAAGGGCCTCGCCTCTGCGCAGGAGCAGAGCTGAACCGCCAGTCAAAGTCGGTTCGCGTTGCTGACCTAGCAACATCTTGCAGATTATTGTTTCCTCCTCTCTCGTTGTAAACAGCTCTGCTGAGTTGTTCCCTTAGGAAAGAACTTACACCCAAGCCTGGTGTGTATTACGGGTTATTTTTGGTAACTGAGAGGCCACCGCAATTTGCTGACAAGGTTGTGCCATCAATCCCAGAAGGAAATAACTTTTTGTAGGGAATCGTACGGCCCCTTTTTATTCGTCTCCAAATCTTTTGTTTGTGGCAGTCCTGGGAAATGTTGTGATCCAAGTCATTGGTATTTAGATAGGAATTTTCAGTCGCTAAACCACCAAACCCCTAGAAGTATACAAATAGAGGGGAAGTGAATGAGCATTATACATAGATGCTTAATATATCCTTAAGTCTTAATTTTTATTTTGTCTTATGATTTTAAGAAATATCTCATCTTTTTAAACGGGGAAATGTCGTTTATGTTTTTCGTGGGGCAAGTTTAATCCTGTGTTACTCTGTTTTTCCAGATGGTATATTCTACACTGTGAGCTAAGATTCAGTCGTCATTCAGGTTAAGGGGAAAACAAATGTTTTATTTTCATACTCTTTAGCTCATTTTCCCCAGTGTCGGTAACCTTCCTCTTTTATCCTAACACTACATCTTTTGTGGCTTTTTCACTTTAGTTGCCTTCTCTTTTCTGTCTCTGGGGGCTTGTTTTTGTATTTGTTAGGTTTTTGTTTGGGTTGGGGGGAGCATCCTTTGCCATGTCACAAAATACTGGAAAGATTTCGCTTCAACCGCGTTTCTGAAAGGTTCTGAGTAGTCAGCGAGAGGCACATCGTATGTAATGAGTTAAGGGTTAAGAATGAAGAGCTGTGGGCGGATCAGTTGAGGTCTGGAGTTCGAGACCCGCCTGGCCACCATGGTGAAACCCCTGTGTCTACTAAAATACAACAACAACAACAAATAACTGGGCATGGTGGCTCACGCCTGTAATCCCAGCTACTTGGGAGGCTGAGGCAGGAGAATCGCTTGAACCCAGGAGGCAGAGGTTGCAGTGAGCCGATATTGCACCACTGCAGTCCAGCCTGGGCGACAGAGCGAGACTCCGTCTTAAAAAAAAAAAAAAAAAAAAAAAAGCAGCTTCATGTCAGAGTTTGAGCACTGTAGAACCGCTAGAACCACCAAAAAAAGCTAGACTTTGGGAAATTGTAATACACTTTTTTTTTTTTTTTGGAGAGCCTCATTCTGTCGTCCAGGCCCAGTGCAGTGGTGCTATCTCGGCTCACTGCAACCTCCACCTCCCGCGTTCAAGCAATCCTCATGCCTCAGCCTCCTGAGCTGGGATTACAGGTGCGTGCCACCATGCCCAGCTAATTTTTGCATTTTTTAGTAGAGACTGGATTTAGCCATGTTGGCCAGGCTGGTATCGAACTCCGGACCTCAGGTAATCCGCCCGCCTTGGCCTCCCAAAGTGCTAGGATTACAGGCCTGAGTCACCGCTCCCAGCCCACACTTCTAATTTCAAATGGTTGTTCTCAGTTTTAGCAAGGTTAAGTTTTTAATTATCTGAAAATGGAATTTAAGTTGATTTCCTTTCCAAGCCAAGACTTTTTTCCAGCTTGTTTCATTGTGTTCTTATACATGATCTTGAAAATATATTAGTTGTTTATTTTGATTTTTAAAATTGTTTGAAGAAGTTAAACTTAAATATCAAAGTAAAATGTTTATTCTGTAAAGTTCTCTTTTGTTTAATTAGGTGTTTGGTGACCAATAAATCTGCCTGGTTGAACTGGTGGAATCGAATTAGTAAGTTTGTGTAATAGTTGGCTGTTTCTAACTATGGCATTAAGACTTGTTTAATGTTCTTCATAAAGGATTAATGAGTTAAGAGTTTTAAAGTAGGTAGCCCAGTAAAGAATCAGAGTTGAGGCCAGAAGGTCAGGACATCTAATCCTAATTCTGCTTGAAGACTTGCTCTGTGACCTGGGGCAAGACACTTCACTCAATTCCTCAAAAACACCCCCTGTAAAATGATGATAGAGATCGCCCACCTACCTCACAGGGTTGTTGTGAGGATAAGTAGTAAGTTACCAGAAAGTTCCTGACCTATAAAGTACTTAAGAATAATTATATACATACACTGAAAGGCTTAGTCGAGAGGAAGCTTTATGAAACAAATTTGGAGGAACTAAACTTACAGTATTTTTTTTTTTATCTTTGCCATTAGTTGACTTGTAAAATTGGGAAAAGCTTTTTATAGTGTCTTTAGTACATACTTTGCACCAAGTTGGTATAACAGTGTACATTTTGTGATTAATTTAGCACCATTTTTTGATGCCCACTGCGTAAGCGTCATAGAACAAAACCTCTCAATAGGTTAAGGACTTTAATGTAGATTGTGAATACATATGCAAGTGAACCTGTTTGATGTTTTCCTATGAGGATTTTGTTGTTTTTCCCTGACATGAGTATTTCTTTCTAGGTAATTGTCCTGGGAACCCCTGCAGAAGAAGATGGTGGTGGCAAAATTGATTTAATTGAAGCAGGGGCTTTTACAAATCTTGATGTTGTTTTTATGGCCCATCCATCACAAGAGAATGCTGCTTATCTACCAGATATGGCTGAACATGAGTAAGTAATCAAGTTGAAGATAAACTTCTTAGGGGAACACAGGTTATAGAATACTCTTATGTCTAAACCAGAGATGAAGACTCATTTGTACATTTAAGAAGTAAATTGAAAGACAATAACAAGATGTCTTGATCTATGGAGTGACATTTGGCAAGCCTCTTTTAATTGAGATTCATTATGGTGTTCATAATTGGAGTATTAAAGTAGTAGCACTTAGAAACCATAGGAATAACATGTTGACAAGTTCTCTTTTGAACTGTCAATAGTCTGGTGTCTGGAAAACATCTGTCCTTTGATATAAAGTTGTCTTTGCAACTGAATAGATTTGCAAGAGATCGTTCTATTAGATATGGGAAGAAAACACCCTTCTCCATTTTATTTACTTTAATTTGAGTTCTTTGCAAAGAGGATAAATTATGTCCTGAGAGAGAATATGGAACATGAGTAGCTGTGATTTTTGTGGAACTTCTCATTCTGTGCTTTTCCGATTTGTCTGGTACTGAATCCTTTTATTTGTCTGTCTTTATGTTGAAGAACTCACTTTTTAGTACCTAGGAGCATACATCATTGAAGTGGTTTGGATTTTTTATACCAGAAATTTCAACCATAGTAGTAACCATAGTATATCGGGGGAAAATCCCACCCCCGATATTTATCATGGGTTCTTTTCTATTTCGTAGGCGTCTCGGATGGTTTGAGAAATAAAGGGAAAGAGCACAAGAGAGAGAAATTTAAAGCTGGGTGTCCGCTCGGAGAGCCGTAAAACCAGCAAGTTTTTATTAGCGATTTTCAAAAGGGGAGGGATTGCATGAATAGGGTGTGGGTCACAGAGATCACATACTTCACAAGGTAATAAAATATCACAAAGCAAGTGGAGGCAGGGTGAGATCACAGGACCACAGGATGGGGCAAAATTAAACTTGCTAATGAAGTTTCGGGCACACATTGCCATTGATAACATCTTATCAGGAAACAGGGTTTGAGAGCAGACAACCTGTATGACCAAAATTTATTAGGCGAGAGTTTCCTCATCCTAATAATCCTGGGAGCGCTATAAGAGACCAGGGCTTATTTCATCCCTTTGGCTTCGACCGTAAAAGGCGGCCACCTTAAGGGGGCCGTCTATAGGCCTACCCTCAGGCGCATTCTCTTTCTCAGGGATGTTCCTTGCTGAGAAAAAGAATTCAGCGATATTTTTCCTATTTGCCTTTGAAAGAAGAGAAATATAGCTCTGTTCCGTCTGGCTCACCGGTGGCCAGAAGTCTTATCTCTCTTGTTACCTGAACATTGCTGTTACCCTGTTCTTTTTTCAAGATGCCCAGATTTCATATTGTTCAAACACACATGCTCTACAAACAATTTGTGCAGTTAATGCAATCATCACAGGGTCCTGAGGTGACATTCATCCTCCTCAGCTTACAAAGATGACAGGATTAAGAAATTAAAGACAGGCGTAGGAAATCACAAGGGTATTGATTGGGGAAGTGATGAGTGTCCATGAAATCTTCACAATTTATATTCAGAGATTGCAGTAAAGACAGGTGTAAGAAATTATAAAAGTATTGATTTGGGGAACTAATAAGTGTCCATGAAATCTTCACAATTTATGTTCCTCTGTCACGGCTTCAGCCAGTCCCTCCGTTTGGGGTCCCTGACTTCCCGCAGCAATAGTAGTTAATGGTCCAGGCACAAGGAGCCACTGCTTAGCTGCTTCAGCAAAACCGTGTGTTTTCCTCAGAAGTAGCTGGTACCTAAGGAGTGATGGCAGAACCATCACAGCAGTGCTTCTAGATTGTACCCAGGTATCCCACCTCTTAGCACCTTTCCAGGCCCTGTTTTCAATCATTTTAACTATTAGGATATCTTCCTTCTTATCACTGGGAATTGGTACTGTGACAGTAGGAGGAATCTTTGAACTTTGGTTTCAAGGATAGTGGTAAACTAGTCCATCTCTAGAAAACAATGGGATTAGAAATTTCTGCCCTTGCCTTTGACTAGAAGGGGCCTGCATATGCAGGCAGGCTCTGCAGCTCATTACCCTTCTGGGACTTAGGGTTAGGCGTCGTGGTCTTGGTTCTGAAGTTAGCGCACTTGACCCCAGGCCTCCTTTTAGTGTCTGCCTTCTTAGCTTTCTCATTGATCATCTCTCTCTCTTTGTTTTTTTTTGAGACTGAGTCTCATTCAGTTGCTCAGATTGGAGTGCGGTGGCGCGATCTTGGCTCACTGCAACCTCTGCATCCCAGGTTCAAGTGATTCTCCTTCCTCAGCCTCCCGAGTAGCTGGGATTACAGGCATGCACCACAGCGCCCAGCTGATTTTTATACTTTTAGTAGAGACGGGGTTTCACCATGTTGGCCAGGCTGGTCTTGAACTCCTAACCTCAAGTGATCCACACACCTCAGCCACCCATAGTGGGGTTACAGGCATGAGTCATCACACCTGGTCTTCTTTGGTCATCTTTTAAGATAGAAAAGAGAGGTCAGGCGCAATGGCTCACACCTGTAATCCTAGCACTTTGGGAGGCTGAGGTGGGTGGATCACCTGAGGTTAGGAGTACGAGACTAGCCTGGCCAACTTGGCAAAACCCCATCTCTACTAAAAATACAGAAATTAGCTGGGCATGGTGGTGGGCGCCTGTAATCCCAGCTACTCGGGAGGCTGAGGCAGGAGAATTGCTTGAACCAGGGAGGCAGAGGTTGCAGTGAGCCGAGATTGCGCCACTGCACTCCAGCCTGGCTGCCCGACAAGTGAAACTCCACCTCAAAAAAAAAGAACAAGATCAAGAATTCCTTTTTTTTTTTTTAATTACTAATCCACTTTTCTTAAAAATTCTTTTTTTTTTTTTTTTTTTCAAGAGAGTCTCGTTTTGTCACCCAGGCTGGAGTACAGTGGCACAATCTCAGCTCACTGCAACCTCTGCCACTGGGTTCAAGGGATTCTCCTGTCTCAGCCTCCCATGGAGCTGGGATTACAGGTGAGCACCACCATACCCAGCTAATGTTTGTATTTTTAGTAGAGACAGGGTCACTATGTTGGCCAGGCTGATCTTGAACTCCTGACCTCAAGTGAGCCACCCGCCATGGCCTCCCAAAGTGTTGGAATTACAGGCATGAGCCACCATGCCCGACCAAAAATTTCTAATGAATAAGATAAAGCAATCCTGCTGACCACCTTTCCCAAATCCAGTCGTTTTTCTAGAGGTATGTATCCTTTTCAGAGTGTTTTTGGTGTACTTATGGGACATAAATAGAATCCTGTGTAAATTAAATTGTGAAAGGTTTTCCTCAAGTATTCCACTCAATATATTGTTCTGGCTTTTTAAAATTAAATAGTATGCTTGAAAATAATTCCATATGATCCTTTTTGTTTTTGTAATGTTTATCACCAGTTGTGATAAAATTCCAGTTTTGCCAGGCCAGGTGGCTCACACCTGTAATCACAGCACTTAGGGAGGTCAAGGCAGGAGAGTCTCTTGAGCCCAGGAGTTCATGACCAGCCTGGGCAACATAGTGAGACCCTGTCTCTACAAAAAAATAAAAAATTAACTGGGCATGGAGCACTCCTGTGGTCTCAGCTATTCATCTGTGGGAGGCTGAGGCAGAGGAGGATTGCTTGAACTTGGGAGGTTGAGACTGCAGTGAGCTGTGATCGCGCCACTGCACTCCAGCCGGGGTGACAGAGCAAGATGAGTATCCACAAAAAAATTCATTTCAAGGTCATGGTGATAAGATATATATCAAGGAAATAACAATGCAGTATCCTGAAATCTAATACATGTTTGATATTTTTACTTGATTTTTGTCCTGCTAATAAAATGTCTGGAATCAGTTAAGAAGTATCGTAAGCATTCTAAGGACTCCTGAATCTAACCCATTAAAATAAGTCCAGATTGGTTTTTTAATCATCTAAATGTGGGTACTATTAATCAGGCTTAAAAAGTGTTATCTAGGCAAGTCAATCACAGAGCTTTATAAGTAACTATTCAACACGCAATCCTTTCTCTAATCTTGTTTTTTTTTTTTTTATTGTATTAGAGCAGTTAGACTGGTGTGAGAACTATTTGTAAGTGGAGTAACAATTTATAAAAACGTAAAATATTAGTGATATAGGCATTTTGGAACATTAATAAAATATCAGATACTGCTTTAATACTAGGGTATCTTGTTATAACATTGAATATAATCTGATTTTCAGAGGTTGTCTTAACCCGCTTCAAATAGTAACTCCTTTCTGTCTTTCCTGACCTTCCACCTCTTCAGACAGAATTTCTGATTTTTTGCAGACTTTTGATACAGAATCATCACAATGCTGTGTACATACATACAGGATCTATTTTTTTTTAATTTTGGTAATTTCAGCACCTGATACCATATTGCATGTTTGTTTGAATTAAATTGTGTATACATTTAATCTGTTCTCTTTTTCTCTCTTTTTTGGGAATGCTTTCTTTGTGTCAAGCACTATGTTACCTAATAATAAACTATATCTAACATAAATAAATTGTAGTGTTATTACTACAAATAATTTGCAAATCAAAAGTCCAGCAATGTGAATTAATTTTGAATAGTAGTTGGGTAATTCTGACTACTTTAGCAATAATAAGAAAAGTAATTTCAAATGATTTTTCATTTCCTAGTGTGACTGTGAAATACTATGGAAAAGCATCTCATTCTGCTGCTTATCCCTGGGAAGGATTAAATGCATTGGATGCTGCTGTGCTGGCCTATAACAATCTGTCTGTGTTCAGACAGCAAATGAAACCAACCTGGAGAGTTCATGGTATGAATGTCAAATACCTTCTATAATAGATGGTGCTTACTAGAGTTCAGTGCAGTATAATTATTTAATATTCAATTTTTAAAAATTCGGAAATATTTTTGTACTTCATATGAATATTCCGATTTTTAAGCATATTTTCAGAAATTAATGTGATAGGATACTAAGATGTTTGTCTATATATGGGTAGAAAGAGTTTCGATTATTGTACATAAATGGAATGTCATCTTTGTGTATCAAAGATAAAGGTTTTATGTAAGGAACTGTGTTCTTTCAGTGGGTGTTTGAAAATTGGATCTTGATTTTCCAGTTGTCCTCATTATTTCTTAATGATAACCAAATTTTGTCACTTCCTCAATTAAAAAAATGTATAGTAACTGCTAGTTTTATTTAAGTGCTGTTAGTCCTGAGTAATATCTTTTTTTGAGTGTTTTTTTGTTTTTGAGACAGTCTTGCTCTATTGCCCAGGCTGGAGTGCAGTGGTGCAATCTCGGCTCACTGCAACTTCCACTTCCTGGGTTCAAGTGATCCTCCTGCTTCAGCCTCCCAGTTAGCTGGGATTACAGGCAGGCGAGTACCACCACGCCCAGCTAATATTTGTATTTTTTGCAGAGATGGGGTCTTGCTATGTTGGCCAGGCTGGTCTCAAACTCCTGGCCTCAAGTGATCTGCCCACCTCAGCCTCCCAAAGTACTGGAATTATAGGTGTGAGCCACCAAGCCTGGTTCTGAATAGTGTCTTTTAAAATTATACATATGTCACCATAATATAAATACAGTCATAAAGTACTGTCTTGGAGGCACACTTCTGTTTTTTAATTTATTTCCTTATGATTTAGGAAATTGTTATATTTTGATATCTATTCTTTACCTGATTTTGCCATAGCCTGAGGTCAATTTGTAATTGTACTTTTACCAGTTTTCCTGCCTTAGTTTCTTTAAAAGGAACAAACAGGAATGTGTAGAAATACTTTTTTAAAGTAGGTCATATGACATTGGATTTTTCGTATCTATTTTAGTTAGGACTTCAAATGAATAAATCTTAATTCTTTATAATTCTAAATAAATGCATTTGTTTTGACAGTTGATAATACTTAGTGATCTTTGACCTGCATTGGTTTTTTTCTTGGCATGAAAATTATTTTTCTAGAGCTAAATGCCATTTAAAATGTTCATGGGATTCCTGAGGTAGGAGGGTAATTATAGAACCTCATACCGTTGTGGAGGTATGGTAAAATCTTTTCCAGAAAGCTTAAGATGTTACTAAGTTTTTTTGTGTGTGTGTGGTTATGTAATTTTTAAGTTTCATTATAGTCTGTAACATAATTTCTTAACATTATATAAATTCCTTTGAATGAAGTACATATGGGTAATTATTTTTTTCTTATCAGTCAAAAAATATCACCCTATGTACAGAAATTTCAGTTGTACAATGTATCAAAATCTTTGATTGGTATATTTGTGGAGCTAGTAAGTTTAAATTATTTTTCTTTATGAACATATTGGCTGAAAAACTTAATGGGTGTATTTAAGCTTAAATAAATGGTCACCAAGCTTAATTCTAGTAATTTGGTTCTTTTTATAGGTATAATAAAAAATGGTGGTGTAAAACCCAATATCATTCCCTCTTATTCTGAATTAATCTATTACTTCCGTGCACCTTCAATGAAAGAACTTCAAGTTTTGACCAAAAAGGCAGAAGATTGCTTCAGAGCTGCAGCTTTGGCTTCAGGGTGCACAGTAAGAACTTTTAAAACTTAATCTAAGTTACAATCAGAGGTATACATGTGGGCTAGTGCTGTTAGATTGAAACCTAACTTGACTCTTATTTGGTGACATGTTGAATATGCAGAATTTGTTGGCTGAATAGTTAATGTGAAAGTCTTTAATTTTTACATGTTTCACTCCTCAGTGCCTGCAACAGGGAAGATGACAGGTCATCTTACTTATATAGTAATTAGAATAATTCTGATACTTCTGTGCTAGAATCCCTGACTTTTTACAAGTTAATATTCTTCCTTGTTGGCAGTTATACTTTTAGAATTGCTCTATGTAGTTTCTATAAAGGAAACTTTGTGGCAAAATCAGCAAAAACTTTTTTTTTTTTGGAGGGGGAGCAGGGTCTTGCTCTGTTGCCCAGGCTGGAGTGTGGTGGCACGATCTTGGCTCACTACAACCTCTGCCTTCCAGGCTCAAGCGATCCTCTCACCTCTGCCTCCCACCTCAGCCCGCTGAGTAGCTGGGACTACAAGCATGCACCACCACACCTGGCTCATTTTTGGTATCTTTTTGTGGAGACAGGGTCTCACCATGTTGCCCAGGCTGGTCTCAAACTCCTGAGCTCAAGCGATCCACCCACCTCAGCCTTCTAAAGTACTGGGATTATAGGCATGAAACACCTCGCCCAGCCAGTGAAAGCTATTTTTGAAGTTAGGATGTATGTAGTAGTGATATAAATACTATGGCTTGCTGGAATGGAAGATAAAATAGACACGTAAGTTAGTTAAGAGGTTTTATTGATTTGTTTTGTTTGTTTGTTTGTTTTTGAGACAGAGTCTTGCTCTGTTGCCCAGGCTGGAGTGCAATGGTGCAATTTTGGCTCAACGCAACCTCTGCCTCCTGGGTTCAAGCGATTCTCATGCCACAGCCTCCCAAGTAGCTGGGACTATAGGCGCGTGCCACCATACCCAGCTAATTTTTTTTTTTTTTTTTTTTGAGATGGAGTCTCACCCCGGCCCAGGCTAGAGTGCAGTGGCGTGATCTCGGCTCACTGCAACCTCTACCTTGCAGGTTCAAGCAATTCTCCTGCCTCAGCCTCTTGACTAGCTGGGATTACAGGCACGTGCCTCCACACCCAGCTATTTTTTTGTATCTTTAGTAGAGATGAGGTTTCACCATGTTGACCAGGCTGGTCTCGAACTCCTGACCTCATGATCCACCCGCCTCAACCTCCCAAAGTGCTGGGATTACAGGTGTGAGCTACCACGCCAACTGGTTTTGAACCATAAAGTTAGCAGTATTTAAATACCATTCATGTACTGCGTAAAGTGGAGTGAGTTTTAGAATTATACAAGATAAGAATCTTGCCCTGGAGGGAGCCTGTTTAGGTCTAGTTGGAGAAATAGGATCTTGACCCATAACTCTCAGCCTAGCTGATTCTATAACCTTTAGAAATGTTTAGTGTCTTTGGCCCTCCATTTTCTTGCTTGAAAAATGGAGATAATAACAGTCTATCTTAGGGTTCTTGTGAGAATTAAATGAGATAATGTTTCTGAAGGGTTTAGAGCCCAGCCTTCGTTTATATTACCTTATTTTTTTCTGTTCTTATTAGTCTAGAGATGTATGATTAATTCATGTAGTAGCAGTATCTCACAGTAGCAGTAATTCTCAGAAAGCATATGTTATGTGTCCTGAAAGTAGTATGGAATGCGTCATGAGGATCAGAGGTGGGAAAGAGTGGTCTGGGGCAGTTAACCTTGGAGCAAGGTTTTGTGGAAGACTGCAGACCTGAATTGAGTTTTGAAGGGTGAATGTACTTTCAGATATGCATGGGAAGGACAGAGACTGACAGTTCTTAGGGAATATAGTCAGCAAAGATAAGAATATAAAAGCTTACGTCGTGTTGTAGTGAATAGATAAACATGTAGACAGATGTAGGAACAAAGATGTATTCTCATTTGCGACTAGAGCAGATGGGTATAGATTTAGTGAATGAAAACTATGAAGTGTCCATAGCCTAGACAGTAAAAACTAAATATTTATTCCCTTATTTATTTATAATTATAAATATTTATTTGTGAAATACGTATGCATGTGAACTATTATCATTAGGCAATATCTCAAGGCATACAGTATTCCCTTATGGTAAGGTTTGTTGTTACTGGATTTGAATCTATATTTAATTTAATTTAATTTTAAAGTTTTTTGTAGAGATAGGATCTCCCTATGTTGCCCAGACTGGTCTCAAAACTCCTGGGTTCAAGTGATCCCCCTGCTTTGGCCTCCCAAAGTTCTGGGATTGCAGGTGTGAGCCACCTTGCCTGGCCTGAATCTATATTTTAAATAATCTTTTAGTAGTTTCTTACATTTGGCTGACTTGTAAGGTCTGATTCAGTTGTCATAGTTTCTACCATAGATGTTGCTAAAAGAAATGTCATCTCTGCCATTTTATGATTGGCTTTTGCTAATATTGGTGTTATCTTTAGTTTGAGGGAATATTGCCAGTTTTCATTTAATCAAAACTGAATCTGTAAATCCACTTAACAGGGCACATAAAAGCTGCTTCCGTATCTTTATATACTGAAATTAATAAATGAGGACTGTTGTCAACCCTTCCTCATTGCAAATCTTCTACGTTTCCCTCAGAGTGCTTTTCTACCTCTCACACCAGGCAGTGATGTCAGTGTCAGTTTGCATATTGAATATTAGGAAAGCTTAATTTCTTTTTTTTGGAGACTGAATCCTAGAGCAGTGTTCCTCCGAGTGTGGTTTTTGGGTCACCTATGTCAGAATGTCTTGGAGGGTGCTGGTTAAAATAAAAATTAGGTTGGTCGCAGTGGCTCACGCCTGTAATCCCAGGACTTTGGGAGGCTGAGGCAGGCAGATCACCTGAAGTCAGGAGTTCGAGACCAGCCTGGCCAACATGGCGAAACCCCATCTCTACTAAAATACATAAACAATTAACTGGGCTTGGCGGCTAGTGCCTGTAATCCCAGCTACTTGGGAGGCTAAGGCAGAAGAATCACTTGAACCTGGGAGGCGGAGATTGCGGTGAACTGAGATCGCACCACTGCACTCCAGCCTGGGCAACAGAGTGAGACTCCATCTCAAAAATAAAATTAATAAAAATTAATAAAAATTTCTGGGCCCTCCTCACACCCTATCTAGGTGACTAAAGTTGACACTCGCTAGCTAGTACAGAGCTTGGTGACATTGTGGGGTTTAGTGTATGTGTAATATAAAAGAGATAGAGGCCTAGGAGCTCTCGTTATAGAAAATACATCTTCTTTTTTTTCTTTTCTTTTTTTCTTTTTTAAGGCAAGAGATTTGAGAGTGTTTATATCTGGAAGGGAAAGTATCTTCTCTTAAAACCTCTTCTTATTAGAGAACAATCACTGGTTTGAAAATTAGATAGTGAATTTGAGTTTTTTATTTCAAAGTTTGTTTTGCAATTTTTTATTAGGTGGAAATTAAAAGTGGAGCACATGATTATTACAATGTCCTTCCCAATAAGAGCCTGTGGAAAGCCTATATGGAAAATGGAAGAAAACTAGGAATAGAATTCATTTCAGAAGATAAAATGTTGAATGGCCCTTCAGGTAATTAAGTTCTTTTTTTAATATATTGAGCTATTTGAGGAAGAGAAATACCGTCTTTGGTTAAATTGGTTTTATTTAATGGTTTGGGAGGTAGGGAGGTACTGCTGACATTTTTAATATTTTCACAAACTTTATGATTAGGAGAAAGAAACTAATGGACTCTTAAGTGAGTGTAGAATGTCAAACGAGCCAATTTGATTTTAGAAATAGTCAACCTACATTTTAGTCTATATTCTAAATATCTTCTAATGTTTAAGTTTCTTTAGTTTTAATTGTTAAGTAAGTGGCTAAGGTGGGATATAGAATTTTAATTCATTCTCAGTCATCACTATAAGCAGGTTACTAAGTACTTAGTTATCTGGGGCATTTTCAGTTTCTGGGGAGCAACAGACAACTAGAATTGAAATAAGCATATTTGGGGTTATGTTAGTTTTTTTTCCTTTTAAAAGCATATTATTACTAACACATTTGCAAGTTAGAGATGTATCTTCTGTTTTAAAAATAGATGTTGATGAAGTAGGCCCGAAAGGACTTGGTGGTGAAATGGGGTGTCATTGTCTTTCATTAAGATAAGGAGTTCAAGAGAAAGAGCAGGTTAGGGTAAGAGGGGGTTGTTATAAACTAGTATGTTAAACTTGAGGTGCTTATAGTATTTCTAAGTAGAGCTGTTCAGTACCTGTTAAATTTAGAACCCAAAAAGATGTCTAGTTTGGAGATTTAGGAGTTGTCCATATACGAAAGGTAATAGAAGATGTCGACGAGGTTGCCCAAATACATAAAGGAAGAAGATTCCCAGAGATCAGACATTGGTAGTCAACAGTCAACAGAGTGAAAGCCAGACAATCAGGAGAGAGGAGAAGGAGAGTCATGGAAGCCAAGGGAGAACAGAACTTACCGAAGAGAAGGAGGTGTAAACATATTAGGTGCTGTAGAGACTAAATAGGATGAGTATGGTCTAGTGTCTGCTGGATTCTAGTAATTAGAAATTCACAAATTGTCTGGAAGAAAATAGTACAAGACCAGTGGTACCAGATGCTGGGTCTCACTTCTCTACCCAGTGCATTGACTGGTGAGATAGTGGAAGTAGCAAAGGAAGACTATTCTTTTTCAAGAGAGTTAGCTTTCAAGAAAAATAGAGTGGATACAAGCCTGAGGGAAATATGGAAAAGAAAATAGTTTTTGTTTTTTTTTTTTTTTTTTTGAGACGGAGTCTCACTTTGTCGCCCAGGCTGGAGTGCAGTGGCGTGATCTCAGCTCACTACAAGCTTTGCCTCCCAGGTTCACGCCATTCTCCTGCCTCAGCCTCCCGAGTAGCTGGGACTACAGGCACCCGAAACCACGCCCGGCTAGTTTTATTTTTTTTATTTTTAGTAGAGACGTGGTTTAACTGTGTTAGCCAGGATGGTCTCGGTCTCCTGACCTCATGATCTGCCCTCCTCGGCCTCCCAAAGTGCTGGGATTACAGGCATGAGCCACCGTGCCTGGCCACGAAAATAGTTTTTAAGGGAAGATACTTGAGAAGTAGATGTACTGTTTAGGAAGAAGTTCAGGGAGTTCAGAGACTTTCCCTTTAGGAAGTAGCACACAGTAAGCATTGAGCTGGCAGGGCTGAGGGATTGAGAGAGAATTGCCACTGAGAGGAGTTGGCCAGGGACATCGGAGTTTCATGTTTTCTTTTGTTTCTGGACAGCATGAGCGCTCAGCTCAGCATTGAAGATCATGAATTTGTTGTTAAGGCAGTCTTCATGGTTCTCTTCTTTTACCCTAGCAGGTTTCTGCAGTCTAGCTAAAGAAGGGAAGACACACGGACAGCCCTACCCTGGGTTTGGGTTTTATATAATGGACAAATCAGTAGGATAAAGTGGCTGTGATTTTGGTATGATTTATAGGCTCTAGGGTCTAGCTCCACTAGTAAGATCTTAAAATAGGCAACAGGCTTTTTTTTTGTCCATCCTATTTTGTTTTGTTTCGTTTTCACACTCAGACTGTTTAGACTCTTTAAACACCAGAGAGGCTTTTTCCGTCCTGTTCACTGATGTCCCATCACTGTGCATCCTCAGTGTCTGGAGCCGTTTCTGGCACAGTTAAGTGCTTAGTGAATATTTTCTGAAGCAGTACTTTTATAGAGGCTACTATGCCTCAAAGTCTGGCCTCAGTCTGCATTTGCCACATAACTAGCAGCTGTGAGACTATCAGCATGTTATTTAATACCCATAAGCCTTGGTTTCTTCATATTTAAAATGGAAACTGTTCTAAATGTTAATGAGAATACATACAAAGCACTGAGGATTGTGTTTGGAATGTAGTATTCCAGATAAATGTTAGCTACTCTTTGTTACATATTCCTTTATTCTCTTACCACTCACTGTGTAGTCTAACTTTGCCTGCATGGTGTTTGACATGTAATAAACATTCAGTAAATATCCATTGAGTGAACATAAGGCTTTGTTTTTACTGTGATTTCTTCAGCAAGAGTCTGTGTGTCAATCCTGTGAGAAGCTAGATGCACAGTCATTTCAAATACTATTTCTTGCTGTATACAGCCTCATAATCTAGTTTCTGAGATAAGCATGAACCAAATCATCCAATACATGGAAAATTAAAAAGTACTGTAAAGGACAGCAATACATCTCTGTGAGAGCCTGTCCTAGAGGAATTTCACTTTATGGGGAGGTGAAGTAAGTAAAGCTTTGCTGAGAAAATGATGCTTAAGTTGGAATTTGAAGGTTAAGTAAGAGTTACAGGGATGATGCAGGGATAGCATGTGACGGTCCTGTGACGGGGAGAGCATAGTGAGTGTCTAGAGTGGCTGGGGCATCGAGGGTAGTGGGAACGTGGTATGAGATCAGGTTGGAAAGGTAAATGAAGATTGAAAAAAAAAATCAGCAAATAGAGTAGATGCTGCTAGACCAATTAGGAAACTTTTAGTTCAGGCAAGAGATAATGATCGCATAGACTGGAGACAGGTGTTGGTGATGCAAAGAGCGTTAGGATTCTGAGATATTTGGCAGATACTGTTGATAGGTGGGGTGGAGGTGGAAGAGGAGAAAGATCATGAGTTTAACTTTAGATATGTTAAGTTTGATCTACCTTGAAGACATCCAAGAGAAGATACCAGGCTGGCAACTGGAGGTATGAGCATGGAATTTAGAAGAGACTGGGAAGAGATTTGAGTTGGTGATTATTTGAAGCAATACATACGGACAAAATCTTGAGAAAGAATATACAGTGAGAAGAGAAAGGGGCCTGGAATGGAGTCTCCCATAACTAATATTTCATCGTCAGGTAGAGGGGGCTGTATCCCCAAGAGAGACAGAAGAAGGGGCCATCAGAGAGGCAGAAGGGAAACCATGCAAGTGCTGTGTCACAGAAGAGAAGAAAGGGAGTAAGTGACAGTGTGGAGTGCTGCCTAAGAGGGCCGGTAAAAGCCTTGAGACCAGGCAAGGACAGGTTTGCAGTGACCTTCATGAGAGATGTGACTGATGCAGGGGAGTGTGTGGCGGACTCAGTGGAAGGTGAGCCCATGAGAACACGAGCATATGGACAACTCTCCAAGAAGCTCACTTCTCTGGGTCTCTTCTAACAGGGACTGTGACTTCATAACTCAAGAATACTTAACCACATATACTTAAATAGACTTTTTTTCCTTTGTGTGTTCCAAGGATCTACAGATTTTGGAAATGTTACTTTTGTGGTTCCTGGAATTCATCCATATTTTCACATTGGATCTAATGCCTTGAATCACACTGAACAGTACACTGAAGCTGCTGGTAAGTGTTGTTGTATGTGACCGTTTTGGCACGCACACTCTTCTGTAGTAGCTGCCTTTCTGTTTAACCTACTGTTTCACTACATAACATCACCTCAGTGAATACTGCACTGTGGGGGGCAGTTGGAGAGCCAGTTGAGATACGGATAGCTAACCTGTGAAATTAAATACAGTTTAAATAAGTAAGAAGGTATTTTATTTTCTTTACCTTTTAGGGTCACAGGAAGCTCAGTTCTACACTTTGCGGACGGCCAAAGCCCTGGCAATGACAGCACTGGATGTTATTTTTAAACCAGAGTTACTGGAAAGAATCAGAGAGGACTTTAAACTGAAACTTCAAGAAGAACAGTTTGTAAATGCAGTAGAATAGAAGGAAGACTTAGGGACCGCTTATAAATCAAGAAGATGTGATGATTTTTTTCTTTTAATCTCTTTTAATGAAGGCATGCTTGTTTTTTAATCTTAAAGGAGGTCAAATTCTTTTTACCTGATAAGTGAAGACAGGGTGTGGAGAAAACATATTACCTCATATCTGAAGTGAAAATTTTTGCAAATCTACTCGATGGGATTATGATATTACAGGAGCTGATATGTGATGCCATTTCTTTTCTTTCCCCCCACAACCACTCACCTTCACAGTAGTGATACCATTTCTTAAACTACCTGGAGGATACATGGCATCATTTTAATAAAATATTTTAATAAATCTTTTTATAAGCCTTACATGTTGTCTGTATTTTTAAAAGCTTAAGAGATTTCAAACCTTGTATTCAGAATTGACACCTATGAGAGTGTTTTGTGGTATAGGGTGGTAAACTTGTTCTCTAATCGTGTATTATTCCTCTACCAGATTGTATATTTGAAGCCAGTATCTTTCTTTTTTTTTTTTAAGACAGAGTCTCGCTCTGTTGCCTAGGCTGAAGTATAGTAACATGATCTCGGCTCACTGCAACCTCTGCCTCCCAGATTCAAGTGATTGTCTTGCCTCAGCCTCCCGAGTAGCTGGGATTACAGGTGTGTGGCGCCATGCCCAGCTAATTTTTGTATTTTCAGTAGAGACAGCATTTCACCATGTTGGCCAGGCTGGTCTCGAACTCCTGACCTCAGGTGATGCACCCGCCTTGGCCTCCTGAAGTGCTGGGATTACAGGCATGAGCCACCACACCCGGCCTGCCAATGTCTTTTTAATACACACGTGTGTTGGTATTTTTAAATTGTTACAGTGTCTAGCATATTGCTTACTCTGAATATTCAGTACTTTTTGATTAAGCAAATATTGCTTCCTTGCTTGGAATCATCAAAGTTTAAAGTAGCTTCGTGGATGGACCATGATCCTAAGATGAGTTTTAATTGTGATTATAGTCATCTCTTGTACAGCCTGGAGAAGAAAAGATATACTTACTACTTTGCTTTGGGTACACATAAGAAAACCTCTTTTTAAAAAAACTTTTTATTTTTTTACATAATAGAGACAGGGGCTCACTATATCTTCCAGGCTGGTCTCAAACTCCTGGGCTCAAGCAATCCTCCTGTCTTGGCCTCCCAAAGTGTTGGGATTTCAGGTATGAGACACCACACCTGCCCATTTTTGTTTTGTTTTTTAATGGGCAGGTTCTTGCTCTGTTTCCCAGGCTGGAGTGCAGTGGTGTAATCACAGCGCACTGCAGCCTCGAACTCCTGGAGTCAAGCAGTCCTCCTACCTCAACCTCTTAAAGCACTGGGATTACAGGCTTGAGGCACTGCACCTGGCCCTGACTCATTTTTTAAAAAGGTTAGGCTGACTTAGTGCAAAGTTTAAAATTATACGATTCTTTTTTTTTTTTTTTTTTTTTTTTTGAGACGGAGTCTCACTCTGTCGCCCAGGCTGGAGTGCAGTGGCCGGATCTCAGCTCACTGCAAGCTCCGCCTCCCAGGTTTACGCCATTCTCCTGCCTCAGCCTCCCGAGTAGCTGGGACTACAGGGGCCCGCCACCTCGCCCAGCTAGTTTTTTTGTATTTTTTTTAGCAGAGGCGGGGTTTCACCGGGAAAATTATACGATTCTTAAAATGCGGAATTAGTTTCTAACCTAAACTAGAGGTATAGGTGGACCTGCTTGAGATATCTTTTGTTTTTATGGAACATTTTTATTACACGCCTTTATAGTTTTTCATTGTTCATGCCCTGTACTGAAACCTTTTTCTCAAATACCAACTCTTGGCTGTGTTGAATTTATAGACTTTAAAAGATATTATCTAAATTAATGGTTTAAATATACAAATTGAGAATATTTTCTTTTTAGTGGTAATTTTAAAAGCGGGCCTTAATATGGGACCTGCTTTTAAAGTAAAATAATTATGTGGTACTATGAATTACTAAATTGCTATATACCATGTAATAGTGAGTATAGCTAATATTTAGTATGCCTTTTAAAAATTTTGGACTGCCTTTCAGTTTTAACAAATTCTCCACATTATGTGAACTACTCAAGAAATTTTCCCTTTTTAATTGTCTCTATAACACTCATAAGAGCTAGGGCATTAGGATAAACTAGAATATTTTATGTTTATGAATACTTGTATATACTTAAAAGTGTTTTGATCTCCCACAATTTCCCAAAGGAATGTTTATTTATTAAGAGTTGTGTTGATATTTTAACTGTTACAATTTCAGCAGTTGAGTTCAGTGAACATTGGTTGAGGAGTGCATATTTCTAAGCACTGGGTGTAAGAAGGAAAGACACTGCAAGAGGAAGAACTAAGATTAACATAATTTCTTTGGTTTTTCTATTGCTTGTTATGTAAAAACTGGGTGGCAGTTCAGAAGGAAGATTGTTGTAACAGAAGAGTGACAACCAAGAATTTTTTGATCATTAAATCAGATTTTGTAAACAGTGGCAGGAACATGGACTTAAAACAAGGCTTGCTTATTTGGTTTTGTCAAAATTTTATGAAAATATGTGATATATATTTATACTAAAACTATATAATCCTTAGATTTAGAAAAGCAATCAGTTAATGTCTTTAGCACACTAAAGCAGTGTTAAACACAGGTACAAATTGGAAATTGTAGAAAACTGAAAGAAAACAAAAGACAAAATGTGTGTGGTAGGGAATTAAAGAGTTTAAGATATTATGTAAAATTACGTGTATTTTCTTCTCTTTTACATAAATCATTTGTGAAAAGTGTGCTCAACTTTTTTACAAGAGTGATATTAATTAGGATTTGTTTTTCAATATAATTTGGAGACCCTTGGTTATCCAAATAAAAATGATGAGTCTCTGTGCCTGTTAAAAAAAAAAAAAAAAGAAAAGACACTGTGTGTGCCCCAGAAAGCTTGTGGTGGGTAGTAAGTTCTCACGAGATTTATTCATCTGAGCAACGCTGGGACTGAGGGAACATCTGAAAGCTACCATCTTGAAAATTTTTGAGGAAGTGTTTCTGAAATATTTAAAAATACTTCAGTCACTTTAGTCATTTTGAAAAGCAGAAATTGATGCAAAAAGTTTTTTTTTTTAAGGATGATTGTCTAATTTTGTAATATGTTCTTTTTTAAAAACCTGTCTGATGGTGTTTTATACATTTCTAACTTTTTACCTGAATTACCTCTTTAGTCTTTTGGAAAATATCCTACATAAGACTAACCTTTAAAACTATCAGATTTTTGTTGTAAGATAAATGTTATCTTTGTACTAGATAGCAACCCTTTATAAGGTTGTAAGGTATGATAAACTGCTTCTTTATTACATACTTCATAGCAAGCATTTTGCAGTCCAATTATATAGTTGAGGATGGTGTATTTTGGTATATATGAAAATATTTTCAAGTAAGCAGTCTACTACCATCAGATTATAAGCTTTTTTGTAATATTTTAATAGGTACATAAAATATGTATGAAAAATCTATAATAAACATGTTTATCTGATAGCAATTGTCTTGCTTTTTTAATGACATGAAGATATATATGAAGATAAAGCACAATTACCCAAATCCATTGTGATACACTATACTTTTTCTTATGCATCAGTATCATAGATGTTGACTTGCTTTTCTATTATGTGTCATATATTTTAAAAGAACAATTAAGTTCTTTTGTTGAAAAATGAATGTTTCACTAGTCTCAGAAGCTAAAAAATTGCAGTGCAAATTGTACATGACAGGAGGTAAATACAGAGTTATAGTATTGAGTCCTTTTTTAAAAAAAGTTTCCACCTTCAATACAGAGTAATTCCATGTAATAACACAAATGCAATGGAACAGGTTTTTAGATCCTGGTTAAAGTATAAGTGCCTCATATGAGAAAAGTCACAAATGTCCATGTTTCTTTGTTTAAACTGGTTTTTTATTTTTATTCTTACTTTTGGAGACAGTGTCTCGCTGTCAACCAGGCTGGAGTACAGTCAGTGTTGTGATCACGACCCACTGCAGCCTCACCTTCTAGGCTCAAGCAATCCTCCTGCCTCAGCCTCCTGAGTAGCTGGAACTATAGGCATGTGCCCAGCTAATTTTTAAACTTTTTATACAGATGGGATCTCAAACTCCTGAGCTCAAGCGATCCTCCTGCTTTGGCCTCCCAAAAGACTAGGATTAGGGCATGAGCCACTGAACCCAGCCTTAGACTGGCTTTCAAAATAGAGCCCAAATCTGTTCTTTTTTTAAAGAGATTAATATGTAAGATTAGCTTTTGTTAGTTCAATAGATCAAAGCACCTAACCACCTTATAAAAGAAACCTCAGAAATATAAAATAGAGATTATCAGGTCAGGGTCTTAAGTGGACAATAATCTTGTTGAGGTCAGAGACAGTAGACATTGCCTCCCTTGATGAACAGTCGCATTTGGGAGTTTGAATTTTTTTTCTGTTTGTTGTGTTGTTGGCCACTGACAACATATTTAGCTCAAGAGAATGGAAAAGAGTTAAAAACCTGCATCTTTTCCATTTGCATTTATTTAAGATAAACCAAAGCTTCTAAATTGACTCACTGGTTATTGCCTGAAATGATAAGGATTCAGGATTAACAGTAGCCTCATGGCATGTCATCTGGTCTGACACTTTCCTTGAAGAAAGATAATGTGTTAGAGTACGGAACCTTAAAGAGTTTGATTAGAAGCTGAGTAAAAATCCTTGCGTATAAATAGTTAAGAGTTTGCTCATTGGGCCGGGCACGGTGGCTCACACCTGTAATCAGCACTTTGGGAGGCCAAGGTGGGTGGATCACCTGAGGTCAGGAGTTTGAGACCACCTGGCCAACATGGTGAAACCCCGTTTCTAGTAAAAAAAAATACACAAATTAGCTGGGTGTGGTGGTGGGCACCTGTAATCTCAGCTACTCGGGAGGCTGAGGCAGGAGAATTGCTGGAATCCAGGTGGCAGAGGTTGCAGTGAGCCGAGATCGCGCCATTGCACCCCTGCCCGGGCTGACAACAGCGAGACTCCGTCTCAATGAATGAATGAATGAATGAATGAATGAATGAAAGTTTGCTCATTGCCTGAGAGCACGATAGGATGCCAGGAAGAAGTGAACTCAGATGCAGTTGAAACCTAATGCTTTAAACTAATATCCGAGTCCCGTTATCTCTGAACGTTGTGTGGTGGTAAATGATTGTAGAGCCATGGCGTTCTTCAGATATGGAGCAGTTACTCACAGCAGCTATTTGCTGTGTTTGCCATAGTTTTTGAAGGCTTATAGGTGGGTTGTGTGTTCTTTAAGAAAAGGTCCCTTGTAAAAATATATAAGAATAGTTTATAGTAGAAAATCCGGGCTGGGCGCGGTGGCTCACACCTGTAATCCCAGAACTTTGGGAGGCCAAGGTGGGCGGATCACCTTTGGTCAGGAGTTTGAGACCAGCTTGGCCAACAGGCTGAAGCCCTGTCTCTACTAAAAATACAAAAATTAGCCAGGCGTAGTGGTGCAGTAGTCCCAGCTACTTAGGAGGCTGAGGCAGGAGAATCTCTTAAACCTGGGAGACAGAGGTTGCAGTGAGCCGAGATTGTGCCACTGCACTCCAGCCTGGGTGACAGAGCAAGACTCCATCTCAAAAAGAAGAAATCCCAGGCAGAAAGAGATTACAACCATGATTAAGCATTTTCTCCAAGCAGATTTGAGTCTGTTTCCCAGCTTCTGATGTTGCCACTACCCCCCGACCTATCCTCTGGTACTTTCCTTTTTTATTATGTTTCTTATTTTTTGTTTGTTTATTTTGAGAAAGGGTCTCACTAGGTCATCTGGGCTGGAGTGCTGTGGCATAAGCAGGGCTCAGTGCAGCTTCAACCTCCTGGGCTCAAGTGATCCTCCCACCTCAGCCTCTGGAGTAGCTGGGGCTCCAGGTGTGCACTACCACACCTGGCTAATTTTTAAACAAATTTTGTAGAGATAGGGATCTTACGATATTGCCCAGGCTGGTCTCGAACTCCTGGGCTCAAGCAGTCCTCCTGCCTCAGCCTCCCAAAGTGCTGGGATTTCAGATGTGAGCCACTGTGCCTGGCCCCCTCTGCATTTTCTAAATTCTCCTGGCCTGAAGTTCCACTGATGATGATGAGCCCTGGAATTTGAGGTCAATAATCCTGCAGCTGAATGTCAGAGGAGTCTAATGTTTTAACAGAATAATTTTAATAATATAATTACATCATTTAAATCAAGTAGCTGATAATGTAATCGCCCAATGGGTTCTCCTTGCCCATTGCCCAGATAGAGCTGATTTATCAAGATGGGAGTTGCAATAGAGAAATAGTTTAATTTACACAGAGCTAGGCTAAACAGGTGAACAGAGATTTAATACTCACATTAGCCTCTCTACAAATCTGGAGACTGGGGTTTTTTCAGGCTGATTTGGCAGGCTGGGGGGGTCAGGGAAGTGAGTGCTGATTGGTCAGGTCGGAGATACTATCACAGTGGGGCCCGAGTGGGTTCTTGCTGAATCCTGTTCCTGGGTGGGATCACAGAGCTGGTTGAGCCAGATTATGGGTCTGGGTGGCTCCGGCTGGTGCATCAGAGTGAGGCTCTGGAGAATACCTCAAGCACTGATCTTAGGTTTTGCTATAGTGATGTTATCCCTAGGAACAATTAGGGAGGTTCAGGATCTTGTGGCCTCTGGTTACAATGACTCCTAAACCATAATTTCTAAACTTGTGGCTAGTTGGTTAGTCTTAACAAAGGCAGCCTGGTCCTCAGGCAAGAAGGGGGTTTGTTTGGGAAAGGGTTGTTATCTTTGTTTCAAAGTTAAACTTTTTTTTTTTTTTTTTTTTTGAGACGGAGTCTCGCTCTGTGGCCCAGGCTGGAGTGCAGTGGCCGGATCTCAGCTCACTGCAAGCTCCGCCTCCCGGGTTTCCGCCATTCTCCTGCCTCAGCATCCCAAGTAGATGGGACTACAGGCGCCCGCTACCTCGCCCAGCTAGTTTTTTGTATTTTTTTTAGTAGAGACGGGGTTTCACCGTGTTAGCCAGGATGGTCTCGATCTGCTGACCTCGTGATCCGCCCTCCTTGGCCTCCCAAAGTGCTGGGATTACAGGCTTGAGCCACCGCGCCCGGCCCAAAGTTAAACTTTTAAGTTCCTCCCAAAGTTAGTCCGGCCTACACCCAGGAATGAACAAGGGCAGTTTGGAGGGTAGAAGCAAGATGAAGTCAGTTTGGTCAGATCTCTTTCACTGTCGTAATTTTCTCACTTATAATTCTTGCAAAGATGATTTCAATAACACAATCCAGGGAAGTGGGACTTTGTTTTTTTTTTAGATTCAGGGGGTACATATGCTTGTTACACAGGTATTACAGGTAACATACATACATGTATACATGCGATACATACTACCTACAATGTCCAATGGACATTGTATCCAATAGGTAACTTTTCAACTGTCACCCTCCTCCCTCCCCACCCCACTTTTGGAGTTCCCAGAGTCTATTGTCTCATCTTTATGTCCATGTGTACCTTTTGTTTAGCTCCTACTTGTAAGTGAGAACACGAGATACTTATTTTCTGTTTATGTGTTCTGTTTCTGTGAGGATAATGGCCTCCAGCTCCATCCATGTTGCTGCAGAGGACATGATTTCATTCTTTTTTATGGCTGTGAGAAGTCCAATCTTACGAATAAAGCAATAGTCCAGCAAGAAGTAAAGTAGTGTATTGCTTAGAAAGAGCAGCTGTCTGAAATCTTTCCAGTGAGCCCCAGCTGCACTTCATTTTATTTCCTGCCTGTGAGATTCCCCTGTATTCTATTTCTTTCTTAGGCTAGTTTGAGTGGGTTACTGTTCATAAAATCAAATGTCACTAAGGTATAGTTTGATACCCTTTCCTGATTTTTTTAAGTCTTAAAAAGCTAGGGACCTAGAGTTGTACTACCGTGATATAATAAAGAAAATTGATCTCAAATCAACCTCATTCTATATGCTCATTGTTAATGTGAGGAAATAGTCTGTGATAGGAATATAAGGAGTATTCATCACAATTTTATTTTTTCTTTCAATACTAGGGAAAAGATTCAATATCCATAGTGTGGAATTATTATAATGGCTGCAAAATGTGGAGAGTTTTTAGTAGAAAAATGATAATGCTATGTTTTGGAAAAGAAAAAAATCAATCTTTTCTGCCTTCTAAAACTTGATGAACTTTACAGGTTACCCCACTGCCAAAAAAAAAAGGAAAAAAAAAATAATCAACACTTAAATCCCAGGTAACTCAGATTCATACTCCATCAGAATTAAAAAAAAAAAAAACTAACTGAGCTTTGTGGTACAGGAATATTTTAAAGAAATATTCCTGAACAAACATTCTTCCTATTTTGAAGAGGCAACTGTGTTCTTTAAAGCTGGGCTTCTGCCCGGCACAGTGGCTCACGCCTATAATCCCAGCACTTTGGGAGGCCAAGACAGGGGGGATCATCTGAGGTCAGGAGTTTGAGACCAGCCTGGCCAACATAGTGAAACCCCATC